ATCAAATTTACAAACGATGACGCTGCATTTATTTCAGGGAGCGAAGACGCAGGATTGAATGTCTGGTTGTTGAGCAGTAACACAGAAAGAGTCGATCCATTATATTTTTCGACCAAGTATATACTTAAGACACATCTTTTAGAAATATTCTCAGTAAAGAAGGCAATGGTTTTATTTTTGGAATTACTCTATTGCTAGAATTGAATGTTTAGATCAAATATTGCCAACTTTTAGTCATCAAAGGAAACCAAAGATTATTGTCGTACGGGTAAGTAAATCTACTGTGACATTGTCATATATAATATACTGGTGTTAATTTTCATTCCTTTATAAGGCCGACAGAGCCCCAAGTATGTTTGATTCGAAACTAGAATTAATACCACGTTACTAACATTACAGAAATGCTTTGATCCAGGATAACATGAAGCATTGACACGTCTTTGTCCTGCCAATTATTTCCAAGCTTTTATAAAACCGTCGTGTAAATAACCTAAGGTAAGTTAGGAAGGATTTAAAGGAGGGAGGACTAGATAATTATGCTTCATTGGTAGATAATAGAGGAATAACCAAGATCCGAGATAAACCTTTGCAAATTTGATGAAGAGAGTAGACCAATTTAGTATATGTGCCAAGCAAACAACTATTAATGAATTTAAATTAACTATTTATTTGGTGAAGACATTTAATCAATTATAACACTTGAAAATATTGCTTTGTCGACGATGGTAGGTCATATGTTGATATTTTATATTTATAAAAAATACGAAAACAAAAAATAAGATAAGGATAACTAAAATAGATTAATAAGATAGCATTTAATGAAAAAATCGATTTCAAAATAAAAATAAATAGTTTAAACTTTTTTTTTTTTAATAAAGAATTCAGAACAAGTTATTTCAGCTTAACTGTAAAAAGTCACTTTATCCGAAGTAACAGGTATTTGGCATTAAGTAATTAAACTTGGCAAATATTTTGCATCAATTTACTTGACGGGAAAATAAAGTCTGCAGATTTTGGAATTTGCGCGCATTGTTTTATTTGATACTCTGACGTAGAGTAAATTGTTCAATCCTTTTTTTTGGAATTTCTTTTCGCCCAGTCAATAGTAAAATGAAACAAAAAAAAAGAAAAAGAAAAAAAAAACATAAATACTTGAACATCAGCTTCGTCTCCTTACATTAAATGTACATTGAACCTTGGAAGATTAATAGCCTTTGGTATGGATGACGCCTGGTCCGTGCTCGTTATAGTCGACTTTGTTGATGAAGCCTTTGGGGTCGGGAAAAGAAAGCTATGATAATTTATGACAATAATGTATGTAATGATCCTCAGGATAATTCCATTTAATAAAAAAACATCTGGAATCCTACCTTGGCCGTGATAGAGGAGCCCAAGAATCCCGCTAGATCCGGTCTCTCCCTTAGGTTAGTAAAGTATTCAGGCAACTTTAAAAACTTGACCTCTTTCATCTGGAAATCTCCATAGTTCTCCGATGCAGCCAAATATAATCGTAGTTCGGCCTCGAGCCGTTCTTTAAACCCTATGATCCAACATAAGACATAGGATGCACAGCACATCGTATCAAATCGTATGTATTTAAACTAGATAATTATCATCCATTTATGTTGCAAACAAACCTTTAATGAGGGACGAACCCCCGGTCAAGACTATACTCTCCCATAGTATGCTTCGTTTATCTGATTCACACAAAGATATCGCCAAATTGATGGCCTCGGGCAACGAAAGGGTTCCGTGTCTATTAATGATTTGTGGGTTGAAAAGGGGTTCGTAAGCCTGCAAACGGATTGGGCCAATTGTAAACTAATTTTTTAAATGAGGAGTATGTTTAATATGGATCGCATTGTAAGTTCGAATGAGCGCAAAATGGTAAACATACTTTTTTTTCGTGATAATCTACCTCCATCCGCTCTAATTTTTCGTCTTCTACTTGATGAGGATCTTCCGGAATCTCACATATGTCCGTCTCTTTAATAGCTCTTGCAAACTCGAGATCGGGCGTGTCGCCATATTCTTCCATGAATTTCTTATCGGATAAAAGTAACGAGAGAAAATATTCATCAAAGTCCTGACCAGCCAAAGGCAGCGTTTGAGATGCGTGATACTGAATCGAACAGTCGATAACAGGCGTAACCTCTGAAAGTTGATGAATTAATTGATGCATTAACAACGTGTTATTCAAAGCATCAACACATGGAAAGTATGCACACCAGTTTTCCCATGTCCCACGTCAACCACCAGGCCGGTGAGACTTCCAAATCCGTACATCGTCATCAATGCTTGATTGGCGATGTAAAGTCCGGGGGCATTGAACCTCTCGAAAAATAACTGCGTGATGCGTTCGTAATTATCTCTCGTCCAGCTATTGGGGACCGATACCAGCACGGGGCATTCATTGCGCGCTCTTTTAATATTCAACTCCTTCAAAAGAATGTGTCGCCTGCCCGGAAGATTTCCACATTTCGCATAAAACCAGTGGTAACAATTAAACTGGAAAGTCACATTACATCTGATCCGGTATTTATAAAGAAATGAAAAACAACTACCACAAAGCCTCCAACTCTTCCCAATTTTGTATCACGCCGCGTTTGATCGGGCTCGTAATTCGGAGGTCACCCTCTTTGAACTCTTCCAGTTGTGCTCCGCATATGTATTTGGGTTCCTTGGAATTCCTTTTTGGTGGTGTGCTACTATTTGGTGAATTCGGCGCCGAAACATCCGGACTTGAAACAGTTTCTGTTTGCACCTCGGAATTCTGATTCTCATTGTCCTCTGTCTTGTGACCTACCTTAGTAGGAATTAACTAAATAGTGATGATAACTTAGAAGCTTAGTTTCTGCGAATTCAAGGAACTACACTCAAAGCTAGACCAAGAACCAGGCTACATTGGAGAATTTAGGACCCGCAATAAAAATCGGAAAGTGAATTTCTTTACCACGGACGGAAATCGGTTTGTGTCACCGACACCCTTTATAGCCTTTATTCTATATGAGCCGTTCTCGATGACTACGTAGTTTTCCTCCTTGAGTGAGAAATGCATTTTTTTTTCAGCACCAAAATTGTTTTGTATCGGTGCTAAGATTAAAATAATCTATTTTTAGGGAGGGATTTCTCGTGTGTAATATGTACGCACCTAAATAATTTTAGGTGCGGGTTGTGTAACAAAGTTGCCAGTTACATCACGCGAATGATAGATCGAAGGACGAGTAAACTGACAATCACTGCGTAACTATTCTCTTTCTATTCTTTCGGAAGACGCGTCAAGAACTCCCGAGAACTTTGCCTTACTGAAAAAAATGGAAGAAAAAATTTTTGAGTTTGTCGCCAAGAAAGACATTAACAATCTCAGCTCATACCTCGACGAAGTCGAAGTCGAAAAGGTTCGTAGCATTCCCAAAAAACAAAGCGGTTTTCATATCAAGCTGGTGTCACAAAGGGATCTTGCAATTAACTTTCGATTTCTCTAAAGTTGACAGATTTAGTGAGACAACAATTAAATGATGAAAAAAAATTTTACGACGAAAAGAAAGGTTGCTTTCCCTTGATCTGCGCGGTGTTCAAAGGTACGATTGTTGAGTTGTTCTCAGTACCGTGAAAGATGCTCTTTATTGTATTCATCGTACGGTTTATGCTACCCAGGATCAGCATTTGAAGAGATAGGTAGCGAAGGAAGACAGATCGAAATTGAAAAACTAAGAGATCGAAGACGCGTCATGATAATGATGGAAATCGTGAAATGGTCGGTGACTATTGTCGGTTAATAAGATGAAAGAGGCGAATGTTTATTTTCTTTCTTTTTCATGCAAAGGTTAAGCGAAAAGGGTAATGAGACAACCTCACTATTTGACAAACTGGTTTCGGATTTGGTGGGCCAATGTATTAACGAGGTAGTACCCACAAGAGGATCATGAATTATACGATTTATCACAAACTTTGTAACAAGCATTTTCTCGAATTCATTATGCAAAGATGGTGGTGGGCTCTTGTGAGTCACCTATCGTAATCGAATCATTCGTCGACGCCACGAAAATCATCATTCGAAGACTGCAAAACGTAAAACCAATACACGGAAAGTTGTTTGCGTTCTTACCCATGTTTCTTTCCACTTTTGATACCTTATCAGAAGTGAACGAACCTCCGCCGGATAATTCAAGCTCTGGTGTTTCAATGTCGGGTCCTGATTACAAGGATTACATACTGAATAAAATTTGCACCATCAAATGGCACCCAAGTAATATTTTAAGTTTGACCGGTGAACTTCGAGATATTGTAATGACCAACGAACAGGTAACCAACTCGCCAGCATGTGATAACACAAATCGAGATTATTCGTCGTACTTATCATAATCATGTCGCGTGAACCAACTTAGCTAAAATTCGTAGTCGAAAAGATTATGAGGTTGGGAGTCTGTTGCATAATCCTTGTGTCAATGTGGGGTTACGGATTCGATCCATTATGAGATCATAACAAAAAATTTATTCCTGGTTCTATAGACATTTCTATACGATGGATGTGAATGGAATGCCACCTTTAATTTACCAAATGCTTTTGCTCTCTAGAAAGGTACACTTTACAATGTTCTTGTCTCGATCGTAATCGATTCTGACCTTTTACCATTCACCGTAGGGTCAGAAACGGTTGATATTGAAAGGCATCTGTGAACACTTTAATAGTGTCGACGAGGAAGTCGATGAGGAACAGGATTCGGGGTACGTTACTTTGCATGCAAGGTTCTTTTCTTCCCACGTTCAGCATCTCATGATCCGTCATCTATTTAAAAAGTGAAAATGATGGTTCCCATAATACCTTGACCTTCTCACAACTGAGTCATATGGAGGGAACTGTGATAATTCATATTTGTTTTGCCGTCACTCAGGACCAAGTGAGAAATCTTGACTTTTTTTTTTTTGAATTCTTTCGTGTCCACTACTGGTCTAATCGCGAGCAATGAATTAATCTTGAAATCTGTGCAGGAATTGGGACGAGAGTTTCTGAAATATATGAAATCGGGAAAGACATCCTTACTGACTCCTTTCAACGTCGCATGTATGCTTTCAATAGCGAGGATACTCAGATTTAAAGTCACTGTAAGATAACATATGCAAACGAGATCCTTCTTTTTATTGTCTTTATATATATATATTTATTTATTTACACGATGATGCGGAACTGGCCTCATCATTTCACATGATTAGGTCCTCGAATTCCTCAGGTCCTCCGTAATTTCCGCCTTCAAAGATCGAGAGAAAATAGAAAGGGCAAAATGGATCTCCAGTAAGTAAAAGATGGTTACTCTTGACGTCTCATCTGTTCCCCGATTTACACGGTGCATTCGTTTTTGCAGAGGTGGATACTTCAAATGTTTTAACTTATACGCCAATAATGAGCTTGTTCCGAAAGATAATTCGAAAGACGTCTTTCGGCTGGGATCAGGTGACCCAGAGTTTGGTGCAACTAGGTATACTCATAATGGACACAGCTTCAGGAGTAAGCACCAAGAGTACAGGTAGACGTTCGAAATTTACTGACGTCGTGTGATCCATGATTTCGGATGGGTACTTAATTTATGGTTGGCTTACGGAATTCAAGACACATTCAAGGTTTCGCAAATAACCCCCAGGAATGCAAGCGAATTGACTTCGGAATTAGGAATCACCATATTATTCGAAATGTTCAAGGTGAGGGCGGTAGAATTTTCACTTGCAGTATTTTGGCTACTTGCTATTAATAATGAGGGATTTTTCTTTTTTTAGATTCACGATATGGTTCGTGCGGAAATTCTGGATCAGATTTTGTCCAGCATAATATCGAAATCTGCTAGTGCCGAAAACTTTTTAAATTTACTTGAAATGATTGTAAAAGAAGCGCCTCATTATTTGGTGAATTATCTTCCGAAGGTAAGCACGCGTTCCTATCTCAAATATATTTCACTTGCGGCATTTTAACACCGTTCTCCTTTTTGTTCAGATTAGAGGAACACTCGACTATTTAACATTCCTCCCTCACCACCTCACCGACAAGCTGCTAAAAGCCTTACAACCGATAATATTTGCGAATCAATCATTTCGCGACGGGCTCATGATCGTTTTACGAAAGGGAATGTCCACAAAGTATGGTTTTCGATTAATGTGTCATTTGAACATCAGGATAATGTTAATCGACCTTGAGCACTGAACTATTTTCCTCTTCAGAGATTTGGAGGGGAGGCACACCGTGTTAACCGGCTATCTTCGATTGCTGAAAGGTCACGCGAGTGGTGTTTGCAATACGTGGGCAATGTCACAATTGTCCACGGGATCCTCTCATTCGACGCACAAGCAGGATCAGAATTCACTTTCCTTCGAAGTGTTGAGTGCGTGTCTCAGGATATTCTGCAGTTGAACGAGTGGACGGAATTTAAAAAAATTAATCGGTCATTTCCACTTTTTTTTTTTTCTAAGGAACTCTGCGTAGATGTTTCAGCCAACAAGCGGAAATACGACTATCATTGTATCAAGGATTGATGGCCGCGATGGATGTTCAAGAAAATCTAAAGCCCTTGATTTTTGACATCTTGTATCCTCACGTTAAGTTTTTAGATGACTCGTGCTTTGAAATGCTGTCAGCGGGAGCAATACGACTAACATTTTTGTTGTATTGTTCAGTTTAAACAATATTTTGTGATGGAAACCGGTGTTCACGCAACTGTCAACATTGAATCATGTCTCAGCGTGAGTGGGGAAGTAAGCATCCTCGAACCTCTTCCATATCTATTTGCTTGTGTGAGCAAATCAATTACAAACTTTGGTGGCACTGATTGTACGTATCATTATTGTCAATTTTATCATGGTCTCCACTTTTCTAATCGGCTTTAACTCTAGGTAATGTGGTCTATGATGAGCCTCAACTAAAAGATTGTGAAAATATTGTCGAACTGTTGATCGAAAGGTTACAAAACGCTGATATGTCGGAATTTATGATCGACCCGGCCGCCGATTTCAGCATGAACAACAACGAGGGCATACGGAATAATTTGTCCGCCAATCTATTGCTCGGGTGTTACGAGGTAAGATCCGTGACGACATATCTATTTGAGTGCAATTGCAAATCTAACTTGACGAATGATAGGCAGCATTGGAGCATACCTTCTATTCTTTGAGCGAGCCCAACTTGGGCACGTCCGAAAAAATAATTCAACTATTCAAAAAATACACCGCGCTATTTCAAGTCATAAAGGAGAAGTCCGTCAGTTCTCGAGGTAGGATTAACCGATTGGTTTGTCCAAGAAATTTTGTCCGATAACCGATCAATGATCAATTTCCTAGGACGAAAAATTTTATATTCCACGCCTCAAAATACAATCTTGAGTTTCAAGTGTGTCACCGATCTGAGTAAATTCATATTCAAGGATATTACTGGGGTGACGGTCAATCATGCAAAGAATGTTCTAGGTGCCAATTATGAATTTGTGAAATATATCAACGCTGTGTCATACACCATCATATCAGAGGTATCGCGTATGGCCTAATTATTTCGAGTGTCGGCAATTTATCTTGACGGTAAACGTGTGTTGAAAAAAATTTTTTTTCACAGTTCACCAAGGATTTGAGCAATTTCAGTCCCGAAGATCAGACAATGTTTGAACACTGCGCGTCTCTGGGTCAGGTTATTATGAATGAATTCATAATCAATAGCACAAAGCTTGACGTCGTCTCAAAGGAAGATTCGAAGAAGGACAAGGTAGTTTAGATCGACATCAAACTTCTTTCACTTGATCGGTGATACTCGATTAATTTTACAACCAACTAACATAGGTTAAATCGAATTACGCGATCGCGATCGAGAGCTTTACTTTGTTGAGTCAAGCCGTGGCCTCTTGTTGGCCGGATAGGTTGGTAGAATTCTTTTCATCGTCTTATCCGCGCGATCTACTGGAGGGTGACGCTCCCGGAGACCTGGATGGATGGTTGTACATTTACGTGCAGAAATTTATGGTGGGAATGAATTTCGTATTCACTTGAAATCCATGTCATATGAAATGCTGATTAATGTGTTTGCGATCCAATGGTAGCACCTCATGGTTTTATCACTTAGCGAAAGAATACCGCAAACCAAGGATGCTCTGGTGATATGTCAAACGGTAACTGCCTGGACGACCTACTTCACGCGAAAAACCGACGTCGATTCAAAATCGAGGGAATATGTGGAGCAACTATTTTCATGGATCATCAAGTTTTGCAAGGAACGTGCCGTCGAAGAGATGGGACTTTCTAAAAGTCTGATGAACCTTCTGCTCAGCCTGGAGAGGGACATGGCCGAATTTGATACAATCGTTGAGATCGCGAAAGACATATCGAACGTCTTGGGACCAATCACTGCTCGGCCCGAGCATTCCGACGCGGAGAATCCACAGTTCGCAATCGTAAACCCCAGATCTAGTTCTACGGTATCCACCCTCTTGATATTATTCCTAGACCTGATATATGACGAGATGGAGTGGTTATTGAACAGGATGAAAGGACTTTGTAGCGTCGCAAGTAAGCAAATAGATGGATCGCGGATGAATCGCATGAACCAAATTACCAATTTTCAAATTTCTACATAGACGCGGACTCTGATGACGAATCGATTGAAATGGATGAGGTCGAACGGACGATCTGTTTAAGGTTGACCAAGCTCATGGAAGCCACCTTGTTCCTGGAAGAAACTTCACTTCACCCCTCCTCCTCGGAACACCTGATAAAGTGTCTACAGAAAGTATACAAGGTTTTGGTGGCACTGACAAAATATGTGCGTTTGGATCTTGGTGGATTGATTTTTCGTTGTCGCAAAATTCATAATACACTCACAGCCTTCTCATCAACCCTAGAAACTCTCCGAGGCTGGAGACATCGAAGAACATTTCACGGACGTGATTAAATTTGCGGGGTTAAAATTATCCGAGCGAATGTATGACTTCCTCACTGCGTTTCTATCCGCAAGCAACGGTAGCTGTTCGTTGAGTAGAAAAGGAAAGCCAAAGGCTACGACCAAGGTAATTATCATAATATGATTGCAACAAAGAACGTTGCGTGCTACGTGTCGCTAAAATTCCGGTTGAACACATGCTAGTCCCGGATAAGCAAGGAATCGAAAATGATACCCGACTTGATTTTTATTTCGGAACAATTCGAACGATACTTGTTGCAATTATCAAAAAAGACAAAGGTATGGACAAACCACAAGTTTCACAGGATCGTAGGTAGCACAACGATCAGATAAATCCAATCATTTCTCAATTTAAGGTTGATTTCATGCAATACATCACGGTTAGCACCGCGCGTGATTTTAAAATTAAGACTGAAAAATCCAAAAAGTCCAAGACGGTTTGTTTAACCCGTTCTGCGATTATGAAATGATTTTTTTTTTTTTTTCATTCGATTGACAACATTGTCCTCTCGCAACAGTCGAGCGATCTGTTGATTGACGATGAAGAGGATGATACGAGTGACGCACTTATAGACGAAGAAAAAGAAGAGGTTCGGATCGAAATTTGGATAATTTTTTTCTAGCTGCTTAATTTTTAAGCAATCACCTCTCTATCATTAGGTCAATGGTGGCGAAGGCCCATCAGAAGAACCTCCGCGTAAACGCCGTCGGTCGGATTCGTCAATGGAAACAGATGATAAAGTTATATAATTTAGTAAATGACGAAATTTGTGACTTGATTTATCACATTCTGATTACGATACATTTGCGTAGATGTAAGATGAAGATCTTGATCATCATATGATCCTAATTTAATATGTTTAGAACATTGTAGAATGTTCTGGTAGTTTGCGATTCATCACGTGCAACCATTAAAAACCAGTATAAAATAATCTGATGATTACTCGAACATTTCGTATCTAAAATTTTCTCGTGTAAAAAAAAAAACTGTCGATAATTACATAAAGTTAAAATGGGTAAGGACTACTATAATATTCTTGGGGTAGACAAAAATGCCGACGAGGAGGCACTCAAGAAAGCATACAAGAAATTAGGTATGTACCATGTCAAACATTTTCTCATATGCTAGGATGCTAGGTGCACCCCATGCATGCTCAATGGATTTTTTGTCTCACCTAGCCCTCAAGTGGCATCCTGATCGACATCAGAATGACACGGACAAGGAAACGGCAGAAAAGAAATTCAAGGAGATCAATGAAGCCTACGAAGTATTAAGCGATAAAGACAAAAGAACCATTTATGATACGTATGGTGAAGAAGGCTTGAAGGGTAGTGGCCCACCGCCTAGCGGCTTCTCGGGTGGGGCATTCCCAGGTGGATTTCCAGGTGGTACCACCTTCAGGTTTAGCACAGGTACTTATTGTTATGTATCAGTTGCATGTCATCCTTGCTTGGTCGAGCATTCTTAACGAAAAAAAAAATTTTTTTTTCCTGTAAGGTTCAGGATTTAGTCCGTCTGATCCAAATTCTGTCTTCTCCCAATTCTTCAGCCGCTTCGGTGAAGAAGATGATTTCGCGTCATTCCCTGGTTTCTCGAGCAGCTTTGGAAAATCATCATCTCGCGGACGGGACTTAAACGACTTTTTCGGTCGTGGAGTCAACAAAGGTGGCGCAAACGAAATTTCTTATCACCTGTCCTTGACACTCGAAGATTTATACAAGGGCATCACGAAAAAACTCAAAGTATCGCGAAAGATTTATGATGCTCCTTCGGGTCGTTATGTCAATGTCGATAAGATATTAGATATTAGCGTCAGGCCTGGATTGAAAGCTGGAACGAAATTTCGATTTCCAAAGTCCGGGGACGAACTGCCTAGTGGTGAAACCCAGGATGTCGTGGTAATTGTGGATGAGAAGCCGCATCCAACGTTTACACGCGATGGTGACGATTTACGTGTTTCCATTACCCTGTCTTTGCTCGAGGCACTCACCGAATCCAGAAAGACGATAAAAACCCTTGACGAAAGAACCTTGGCTATCTCGAGCTCATCAATAATAAAGCCAGGTCAGGAGCAGAGATTCCAGAACGAAGGGATGCCCACTAAAGACGGCAGGAAAGGTGACCTGATTGTAAAGTATAGTGTCGTATTTCCAACAAAGTTATCAGAAGAGCAGAAGAGATTGCTGAAAGGAGCTCTCGGATGAGATTCCTTGATTCCTCGGCGGCGGAGGTGGTGGCACGCATGCGAGGATTCAAGATTGAAGCGAGACGGTCATAAGATCAGAAGTCGTGAACTCGAATGTTCGATTATACCGTCCTGTAAAAAAAAAAAACTTGGATATATAAAAGACTCTTTGAGAAACGTCATTATTGATTGCGTATATGCAACGAGAAAGAATTCATCGAACGAGTCTGTAGTGATTAAAAACATTTTCTTAGACTTTTTTGGCAACATTGTGAATATGCATTAATACAAAATTACTTTATTAGAAATTTATTACATTAATTGTAAACCATTGTACACTTCAATTTCATACAGATCGATCAAATAAACCATTTGAAAATGAAAAAATCTAATACTTGATACTTTTTTTTTATAATTTGAATTTATAACTATTTAACAACTTTGATTTCTAACGATTTGTGATATTTATCAAATTAAATCTTGATTAATACTAAATATGTTTTACTAATATTTAGAAACAATGTAAAATTAAATGTACAATACCTCTTATCTGTTTATATTAATAGATAATATACTTTAATATAGTGATTTGAAAATCTCTAAAATAATATTTTCAATTAAAATTATTTATATTATTAAATAATTTTTATTGACTTTATATCTGTTATTTTTTTTTTAATTTATAATCATATTATTCTAGTATTTTTATTGGGACATTAAATAAATATCGATAATATTATATTGACTTTTATATAATAATTAACTCATTATTATGTTGCTTTAAAAATATAAAGAGTTTATTAAATTAGTTTATATTAAATAACAAATTTTCAATTAAATATTTTAAGTCAAATTTGAATAATAGTATTTTATTTTTTTAATAGATTAATAATTTTATTTATTATGATTATTATTAATAGTTTATTATTATAAATTATTTTAAAAAATAATAATTGCTGAATTAATATATAAAAAAAAACTTTTCAAAAATTTTTTATCATAATTAATTATTTTTTTTCAAAAGAGATTAGTTTAATTGAAATATTTTTTGTATTTTAAATTATTCAAAAAAAATTTTATATAAGTTTCTTTTAAACATATTTGAAAAATAAATTAAATATTATTTTATATGAAAACAGATTTATCCAGAAACTCTTTTCATTGATTCTCTGATTATATTCAAAAAAGATATTCGCAAGAAGTTTTTATACTTTTTGATTAACAAAGTCTTATCACTTTCCTTAAACCAACTTGAAATAATACTTCAAGAGTTATATTTACTTTTTCTTTCCTCTTATAAACAATTTTCTTCAAATAAAAATATGATTTTCAGTGACCAAAGCCATAAAACACCTTTCCTACCAATGGCAAAAAAGTTTTGAAAAGAAGAAGAATTGTAATGCTACTATCCACTTACCTATTAGAGAGACAATACAAAACTTTTTTAGTATAAGAAACTTATCTTAAAAGCAACCATTTACTCTTGTTATACTTGAACTTTAAGAATACTCTTTCACAATTTTTTTGAGAAATTTTACCTACCTCAGTCTGATTCTGAATTTTGAGTAGCACAAAGTTTCATTATGCAATGATTGGTAAAAGAATATAAACAAGCTTTCGTTGGTCACCTCACGTATCTAAATACATTTTCTTAGTACCCATAAGAACCTGGAGTCTATTATAAGTTGCATGTCAGTCATATAGATAAATATAGGACATAAAAATTATGACATTACTGACTATACAGAAAGAATAAGGTTGAATTAGGCTATCTTGAATAGACAACAACCTCAACTCTCTTATTTCTTCTCCAGCAAATACAACCATTATATTCAGGATCAGTATCTTTTTAAAAGGTTTTGATACTTCCATCCATTCATTAGAACTACCTCTAATAATCAACTAAATAATATTATAGTCTTCTAGACAAAACTTGACTTGAATACAACCTTTTTTTTTCTTTTTTAAAAATTTTTAATTAAGTGCTAGTGGAGTTAAAGCTTCACATAAGTAGTTTTCAATATCAGTGGTGCTAGGTATTCCAAGTGAATCCTTAATACATTAGCTCACTCTTTTTGGGATAGCAATAAACCACTCAGTGGATCAACCAATAGTTGTACTTTAAGAAGTGTCAAGATATAGAATAGAAAATTAATATAGTGTGTTTTCATATTTTTTGTTTTTTCATGAATTGTTTCTATAAGTAGATATCTATAGTATATTAGATGATTATGTAACTATTTTATCCTGATTGGATAAAATGTAAATAGGTAGTTCTTTATATTATTCATTGATATGTAAATCCTTAGATAGTATAAATAGTTATTCATCTTGATTGTCTTTAGGTCTTTTGCTTATTCAAATAAATCTCACTTACCTTGATACAAGAATGAGCTAATATTTAAAAAAAAATTTTTTTTTTTTTATTTTATATGAAAATAAAAAATAATTCTTAATATTATTAAATAATTATTTTTTGTTATAATTTTACTTTATTTTTAATTTATTTATCTATTTATTTATAATTATTATTTTGATATTTTTATTAATATTGAATTAATAAAATAAAATTCCTCAGATCCTTAGAAATTTTTTTTTAGACAATACACCCAAGGAAAGAGACAACATATACAACTCAAGACATATACTCGCACAACACCAATATACAAAAGACATTTTAGTACAGAACAACACTTCGTGCATAGTTTTAGTCTGGTGATCACTAAGAAAACACAACATATATTAATAATCTTGGCCTTTTTCTCTTTCCTAAGAAGAAGGAAATAAGCCAACATAAACTAATTCACAGTCAGAAAATGGGAGCCAATATCAACTTTACAGAGCTTGTAGCTAGTCCAGTGTAGATTGACACCTTTTCTGACACTACAAGAAATCTTAAAGCAAATAAATTCTCTCGATAAATCAAGTGAATCTCAAATCACTCAAGACCCAGAAAGATATCAAAGCTCCCCAAGATCTAAATAGCCTAACATGCATACCCCATTGTCACACATATCAAAACACCTCACTAAAGTAGTGCAAACATGTACACATATATAAAGCTATTATCAAAATAAGTTTGACAAAGATCTATCACAATAGTATAACAAGAGCGACTAAATTTGATAAGATTAACAATCACTACTACCACAACAGAAAGTAATCAATGTAAACAGAGTGTCAGGGGTCTGTAAATACAACAACAAGCTAATGTAAATAAGTAAACAACACTAGACAAAACAGAATACTCAATATATGTCTAATCAAAACAAGATCAAGACATATATCAAAATAGAAGAATAGCTAAAAACAACAAGCAATATACATAAAAGGTTTTTCTATCTCATATGACAACATCAACATTACGTGATCCACTCTTATTATTATTTACTATACTATGTGCACAATGAACAAAACCGAAAAGATTCTACAAATAGTAGATAAAAGAAAGAATATTATCGATACATTAATCTGGCTTGCAAAAAAGCATGATGAACATAGTGAGCTATGGGCTATATAAAAATAGCCAAATAAAGACTGACTACTACTCAATATAAAGAGAGAATATTAGTTCCAGCTCCAAAAACTTGCACAATACTTGATAGCATTATTGCAAGTATCTTAGAAATAGACAAAACTATATTCCATA